AGCTATTCCTCATTTATCTATTAACTGAGAGATTAAGATACTAAAAGTATTAGTATATAAGTTGATATACTCTTATTTATATATTCTCCATCACCGACTAGCTCAAAGGTGTTGCAGGATATCTAATCACACTGTGAACCCTAAGATTGTGTTGTTTACTGGAAAAACCTGTTTCTAGTTGTGGTATGGCTCAGCCCTAGCACACACTTTTAATCCAAGAGCTTTCTGGTTATTGTAAACAGGATTAAAATAGTCAACCATAGCTCAAGAGGCAGAACAAACATCCAGTTGACAGGGAGTGAACATCAGAAAGAACCACAGAGAGTAAGAGGAAGTCAGAAGACAAATAGAAGTGGGGGGGGGGGACATTCGAGGGGTTTTCGAGACAGCATAGAGAAGAACTTGCTTCTGGGACACTGGCTGTGGAGGAAGGTCAGCTGGCTGCTCTCTCTGCCTCTCTGAGCTAGCAGGCTCTCACCCCAGCATCTGGCTCCCCGGTTTTCACTGATAAAATCAAATGATTGAGATTTTGTTAAAAACAACACAAAGGGACACAAATCATACCTGCAACTGTGAACACTGGAGGATTTTCCTTCGAGATGGACTGGGAAAAAATGAACTCTGCCTCCTGACCAATTCCAGACGTTTCTGCAGAGGGGTGGCACCTACAAAGTAGTCCTTAAGATTTGAGATCCTTCGTCTAGAAGTCAATCCTCGAGAATCATAAGAATCCATGGTCTGCATTAAAAAAAAAAAAGTAACTAGAACTCCATTCACTAAAAAGTTAATTTATTCACATTGTTCTCTTACATATACATTCTTGCTTTCTTCCCTTCCCACTCCCCACCTTCTCTACATCCTCTTGTTTCTTGTCGTATCCACTGTTCTATTACTGTGAAGAGAAATATCAAAACAAGAAACTTTTCAGTATGAACTGTAAAATAAGACAAATAATGTAATATACACGTTACAAAGGAGACTCGTGAAACCAGTGAAGGCTGAGCACAGCAGGGGCTTCACAATGACTCTAAAGAGCTGTCTCTAATCTGGCTTAACAATTTCAAAAACTGAAGAAAGACATGAGATAACTTTACATGAGCACATGGAAAAACAAACATTTATGACAACTGGCATGGTGAGTGGACGGCTCTCTTCCAGGGTCTCTGGAATTGGAAGACTATCAAGGGATCGAAGGCCAATCCTGAGGAAAGGCAGTTACATCACAGTTAGCCCCACTGTGGGGGATGTGGAGATAACCCTGGTGAAGGAAGAAGTGAGGAGAGTGAGGCACCACAAGCTCCTGCCACTCCCTGAAGAGTCCTGATCTACTGTACACAGTGTATGATCTGACACGGCTCCCAGACCACAGGTGAGATGACACAAAGGATCCAAGGCCAGGGCAGTGGCTAATTCCCCTGTCTTCATGGAAATCTCCACAGGGAACAGGGGTGGTGGCCACTCCCCTACAGACTCATGGACAGGTAGTCAGATTTGGCTAAACAACACAGGTTGCACCCCAATTTGCCCTTGAATACATAAACATACCCTAATTGGCTAAAAAGCAATATATAAGCTTATGTAATAAACACTAAAATTAAGTCTGCATTCTGATGCTGGTCTCCAGAGTCTGAATCCCGAGCATCTTTGTGGGCTCCATCTCCACTTTCCTCCCACTTCCCAATCAGTCCCTGTTCCCACACCCTCCTTTCCTGAAAGAGGCTACAAAGCAACAGCAGCAGAATGGCCAGTCACTAGACAGGCCCCAGATCACCAGTGAAAAAGAAAACCATGCTCCCAGGCTGGAACACTGCTCACCCCTGCTGGTTTTGCCATTTAACAATCCCAGTAGCCAGAAAGATAGGAGACGTCTAGTCTGAAAACTGGAGGGCATCTTTACAGACACAACCCCAGATCAGAAATATCCTGTAACCAGAACTTATGCTTGCTGCCTGAGTAAGGGATTTCCTTTCCTACCAACCCTTCTTCAGCCAGAACAGTGACAAAACTGAGCCTGCTGAGTGGGATATAGAGTGCAACTAACTGTTGATGGACTCCTGTTATGATGATCTAGAAAGATTTCAATTTCGATACTCTCTCCCTCTCTCCCTCTC